TAGCGACCCTGTACAGGGTTTCCGAGGGTGTAAATCTTTACGGGAGTAGAAAGCCTCATCTTTCTCCCGTGGAGCGGCTGGTAGTTTCGAACTGCTGACTTTAAGGTTTGCAGCCCAATTCGTAACCACTACGCTACCAGAGCTCGGTGAGGGTACCCCTCATTTCCACCCACCCTCTGTTATGCCAAACATGATGTCCTTTTCCAGGTCTTTCTGTCCAAAGTAAGCAAGGGACTTGCTTTATTTACTTCTAAGGCGTCTCCTGGCTGTATTTCCTCCAAGACTGATTTATAAAGAATATCTTCTTGAGGGTCTTCCTCTTTTTCCCTGACCCTCCACTATACCAAGTGTGATGTTCTTCTCCAGAGACTGATCCCTCCTGATAACATGTCCAAAGTACACGAGACAAGGGCTCTCAATTCCAAGGAGCCTTCTAGCTACACTTCTCCCGAGAGAGATTTGGTTGTACTTCTGGTAATTGATGGTACTTTCAATATTCTTTGGCAACATCATGATTCAGATGCATAGGCTCTTCTCACGTCTTCCTGATACACTGTTCAACTTTCACATGCACGTGAGGTGATTGAAGATAGTACCATGCTTTGGGTCAGGTACACCTTAGCCCTCAAAGTGACATTTTTAAAGGGTGCTTTTTAATACTCTTTCCAAGAAGCGGCCAGGGAGTTTGAACCACCAACCTTGCAGTCTAGTGCATTATCCCACAGTGCCACACTAGGTCTCCCCATTGGTGAGGTATGTTAAGTTGTTAAGTGCCATTGAGGTCGAGTCCATCCCGACCCATAGTGACCCTGTGTGGGTTTCCAAGGAGCAGCTGCTGAGGTTGAACTGATGACCTTGCAGTTCAAAGGACTTTGCAGTCTGATGCATTAGCCCACAGCGCCACATAAAGACTGTAGTCTTTGATCTTCATTCGCATAGTTTTCAAATCTTTGCTTTTAGCAAATTGAGTTATCTGCATATCACATGTTTCTAATGAGTTCCTCCAATTCTAATGCCACATTGTTCTTCATATAATCCAGTTTCTGGAATTATTTGCACAGTATATACGTTGAATACTTTTGGTAAAAGGATACACACACGTGTCTTGATTTTAAACCACATACTATCTCCTTGTTCTGTTTACAAGACTGCCTCTTGGTGGATGTACAGGTTCTTCATGAGCACAGTTAAGTATTCTGAATACTCATTCTTTACGATGTTATCCCTAGTTTGATATGATCCACAAAGTCAAATGCCTTTGCAAAGGCAATAAAGTACCAGTAAACATCTTTCTCATATTCTCTGCTTTCAGTTAAGATGCATGTGACCTAGCAGTGAACAACTTATTCCACATCCTCTCTTTAATTGCTTTAAATCTCTGACAGCACCCTGTTGATGTACTGGTTTTGAATGATCTTCAGCAAAGCTTTGCTTGTGTGTGATATTAAGGATTGTTGCTAAGGATTGTCAAGTTGGTTCTGACTCACAGCGACCCCGATGGGGTTTCTAAGGAGCAGTTGGTTGGTTTGAACCACTGATCTTGTGGTTAGCAGTCCAGTGCTTATCCTACAGCACAATGCTGTGAGTCCAGATATAGATATAGATACGTAGTTGTTAAAGTGTCATGGAGTTGGTTCCCACTCAGCAGCCCTGTGTAGGGTTTCTGAGACTGTAAATATTTGCAGGAGCAGAAAGCTTCATCTTTCTCTTGCAGACACTGGTGAGCTCCATCTGCTGACCTTGTGATTCAAAGTCCAGTGCTTACCCTACAGTACTGCCTCATTTCTATATCAAGGGTTGTTGTGAAGTGCTGTAGAGTCGATTCTGACCCATGGCGACTCTGTATAGGGTTTCCAAGGAGCAGCTGGTGAGCTTGAACTGCCAACCTTGGAGTTCAAACGGTGGTATTGTTCAGTAGTTTCCACATTCCGTTGGGTCTGTTCTCTTTGGAATGGGCAGAAATATGGATCTCTTCCAGTCAGTTGGAAGCTGTCTTCCAAATTCCTTGGCCTAGCCGAGTAAGTGCCTCCAGTGTTGCATCTGTATGCTGAGGCATCTCATTGGTGTTCCATCAGTCCCGCCAATGCCATATATTTATGTGATTCCCAGATATTTTCAGATGCATTCGCTGATGGTTGGAGGGTTGGGAGGCATGAACTGGCCTCTCCAGAGGTTCCCCTGTGGCCCTCTGAGCCTGAGGGGACAGCAGTGTGTGTCATGGCAGGCCGGCTGCTTCCCTGTCCTCTTATCTCAGGCCACAGCCTTCCTTCCTCATTCCCCCAACCTTGGGGCTCTTCCTTGCTTTTCTGGGCTTCAGTGGCCGACTGTGGGATTCAGAAGGCCTCACTGAGCCAGGAGCGCTATGGTCTAGTTGTGAGGAACTTTGTTTTACGTTGAGGTGTAGTCTGTCCTGAGGCCTGTGCTCTTTCATTGTCATCAGCATATTCTTGTCAGAGGGCACGAGTCTGTTGCAGGATGTCAATGCTGGGTGGTCTCCCTCTCTCGGTGATTTCAAGTTATGATGGTGGGATAGGGTAGACGCATTTCAGCAGGTGCTGAACTGGTCCCCTGGAGGCTGTTGGGGGTCTCTGGACCAAAGAGACCCAGGGCTTAGCCATGCTGGGGACAAAGTCTCAGCTCCAGACTAAGGCCCATGTGGTTCTGCACATTCCACTCTTGTGCACCGCTATGCAGAATAGGTGTGCCCCACAGGGTCGTCACCTTCACAAAAGGCTTCAAACCACCACCTTTCAATTACTAGTCACCCAGGGCACCGGTGCTGCTGAGGAAGGGGCAGCTGAAGATGTCAGTCACTGTTGGGACACAGGCTTTGGGAATTGGAAGCCCACCTCCAGCCTCCTTAGCTGGTGTGGGTGTGGGACAGAGGAGGTGGCTCCCTAGGGTTCCTGTTTGCAGGTCTGACCCTGAGGTGGGGGCGGAATTCCCGGTCCAGAGCAGGCCTCAAAACCGCCACAGAGCCAGAGACACCAGCCATCTCCCCTCCCCTCCCCTCAGGGATGGAGGACACCACGGCCCTCTCTAGTCTGTCCCACAGGCTTGGTGACCAGGAAGTCTGAGTCAGGGAGTTAGCCCTCTGAGAAGGTCAAGGGTCAAGGTGACTGGCTGGCTGTTTGAATCACTGGGTAAATTCCCAGCTCAGTTATTGTCCACTCAAAGGCAGACCCAGATGCTCTGAGGCCAAGTCCATGACAACAAACAGAGACATCCACTCACTGAGGTGGGCGAGACAGGGAGCATCAAGCACAGGGCCTGGTACACAGCTGGTGCTTACTACTGGTCAGGCACCTGTCCTGCAGCTGCAAAGCTGAAGTTGGCAGGTGGCCTGGGGGCTGGGGAGGAGCTGCTTTGAGGCAGGAGAGTTAGAGGTGCTGGTAAGTGAACACTACTATGCTCCAGGCCGGGGCTCGCATCTTCCCATTGAATCCTCACAGCACCAGCCCCAGGAACCCCCCCTGTTTACAGATTTACAGAGCAAGCAACTGAGGCTCAGAGAGAGCTGGACTCGAACCCCGCTCTTTCTGACTCACAAAGACCTGGCCCTTAATCTCCCTGCTGGCCTCCCCCCAGGCTCCTGGGACCATGGACCTAGGGCCCTGAGGACGTGGGCTCCCTGTGGCAATGACGACGGGGGACTGCTGCCACCTCCCCGGCTCCCTGTGCGACTGCTCCAGCAGCCCTGCCTTCTCCAAGGTCGTGGAGTCCACGGGTCTCGGGCCACCCCAGTACGTGGCACAGGTGACGTCAAGGGATGGCCGGCTCCTCTCTACCGTCATCCGGGCTTTGGACATGCCGAGGTGAGTGAAGACAGGTCCTCTGCCCTCTTATCTCTCGGGGCGCACCGATTGCCTCCCACCCTGGGGCTGGCAACTGTGAGCAGAGCAGTGACATCTCACCCCTTCTAACTGGAGGGAGGGGGAGAGAGAGACTCACTGTCGGCACATCCCTTAGCAATTCCTGTGACTCACAGGCCTCCTCTCTCCTACCTTCTTACCAGTTCTGACATCAGCTGTCCCTCCCACCGCACTCTGCTTCTCTGTGGACTCAGTAACTCACTGCCCGGCACTGGACCACACAGAACTCACACACCAACCAGACTCACAAGTTCAGGGCTTCTTAGGGAAGGAATGGGTTACAAGTTGGGATCAGAAAGAACTCAGCATACAGCAGCTTCTCTGTGGCCCTCAACTTCTTGGCCTGATCTCTGCCCTGCCTGGGTGAGTGTTACTAAGCTCTCTAGTTCTACCAGCAAGTGCCCAGAGGCACCTGCTCCTCCAGTGAGCCCTAAGGCCAAAGGCGCTCAGAGAGCTTGTCTCTCCCCGCTCCTCAGTGAGCCTCAGGCCAAAGGCACTCAGTTCTCTCGCTCTTCTCGGTCAGCCTCCTGGTTCTGCTGCCGACGACATTTCTTTGCTGCTGATTCTTGGCGTCTCTAGGGTCACAGCTCTCTCTGAGTCTCCTCAGTGGAGATAATTCTCAGCACAGGGATCCTGGATCCACTCGGCCTCTTCTTTCTTGATGGGTGGTGAAGTCCCCTCTCTCTGCTCACTTCTTTCCCTTTACCTCTTGTAGGGTGAAAGTGGGGACTGGAGGTATGTCCTTTTTAGTAAGGTGGTGACTCTAGGTCCACTCCACCCTAATCCTGCCTCAGTCACGGACAACTAACCACAGGCGTAGAGGCTAGACTGATCACCCTCACAAAACGGAAGATGATGAGAGCAGATCACCACCCAGTCCTGGGAATCCTGTTGACACAGGCTCCAGGCACCTTATTTGTATGTTCCCACCCAATCACTTTGATGACTAAGATGCGCCTGACCCAAGCCTCATATGCATGTGAAAGTTGACCACTGAATGAGGGAGACCAGAGAAGAACCAATGCTTGTGAACTACGGTGTTGGAGAAGAATATTGAAAGGCTCAGAAAAAGTAACCAATCTGTTGGAAGAAGTCCAGGCAGAATGCTCTTTAGAAGTGAGGATGGCCAGACTCTGTCTCTGTCTTTGGATACGTTATCAGGAGGGACCAGTCCCTGGAGACGGAGATCATGCTTTGTGAAATAGAGGATCCACGAAAAAGAGGAAGATGGAGTGACACAGTGGCTTCACCAGTGGGCTCGGAGGATGGCGCAGGACTGGGCACTGTTTGTGTTCTGTTGTATGCTGGGTCACTAAGAGTCGGAATTGGCTGGATGGCACCTAACAACAGCTCAGTCATTGTGTGGGAGTCACAGAGACTGGGTCCAAGGGTCATATTATTAAGTCATTTGTACCCAGCAGAAGCCAGCCATTCAGGAGGGCCAGGCGGGCACGTAAGTCAGAAGCAGATTTTCACACAAGAGCGGGCGGCTGCTTTTCAGCCTCAAAAGGTATCACCCTGTGGCAATAGAGGCCCGGCTGGCCAGGGTTCATTCTTCAGAAAATGCCAAAGTTTCAGGTTCTTATGTGAAATCTGGAGTCCTAGTGTGGCACTGTAGGATAAGCACTGGATCACAAGGTTGGTTTGAACCACAGGGTTGGCGGTTCAAACTCACCAGTTGCTCCTTGGGAACCCTAATCAGGGCTGTTATGAGTCAGCACCAACTCCATGGCACTTAACAACAATGACAGCATGTGAAATTGGAAGCGCAAATGTTAGCAAATAGTTCTCGCTTGGGAATGACCCAGTAGAGAAGCGGTAGCAGACAGAAGGCTGGGGACTCAGCGGAAAACCCAGTAACCCACCAAGTTGGTTATGAATCACAGCAACCCCATGTGTGTCAGAGTAGAACTGGGCTCTGTGGTGGTTGTGAAGTACCACCGAGTCGATTCCAACTCATAGCAACCTTGTATAAGGTGTCCAAGGAGCAGCTGGTGAGTTTGAACCACTGACATTGCAGTTCAAACCAACTTGAGGTTGAGTGCTTCTCCGGGACCGTGCCAGGACTCCATAGGGTTGGGTTTTTTTCTATAGGTAGAGTGATATACTATGCTCATGGCAAGGAAGCCTTGGCATTGTGAGGACGCCAGCGCTACTTAGAGTGAGCTGCACATAGGATGCAATTCCAATGCAGACTCCATCAGGATTGATTTTCACATACACAATCCAGCCACCCTGTTACATTCTGTAAGCTTCACGACCACCATCCACAGGGTTTTCACTGGTGCTTTTTTCAAACATAGCTTGCCAGGCCTTTCCTCCAAGGCATCTCTGAGTGGATTCAAACAGCCAACTGCTTAGTTAGTAGTCAGGTACTTAATTGTCTGCCTCACCCAGAAATGCAGCCTCACCCTACTGGGGCTTAACTCTGCAGCTGAAGGCTCCTCCTGCCCACACCTGCCTTTGGAGTGACCTTGGCCACGTTCCGTCACCACCTGTGTCTCTGAAGTGGGGAGGCCTTTCTCACTGGGTGGTTCTGAGACTATAATTCCACGAGACATATAAAGTGCCTGCAATGGAGTTTTCTTTCTAGTAAGCATCTGCTAAGGAGCCCTGATAGCACAGTGGTTAAGCATTTGGCTGCTTGCTGTAAAGTCAGAAGTTTGAACCCACCAGTCAGTGTGCAGGAGAAAGATGTGGCAGTCTGTTTCCATGAAGATTTTTGTTGTTATGAAGTGCTGTCAAGTCGATTCCGACCCATAGCGACCCTGTATAGGGTTTCCGAGCAGCAGCTGGTGAGCTTGAACCTTGCAGTTCAAACAGCTTTGCAGTCTGGTGCATTAACCTGCAGCGCCACACCAGGACTCCATGCCATCAAGTCAGTTCTGACTCATAGTTAATAATGTACAATTCAGTGAAACACTGCCTGGCTCTGCACCATCCTCACAGTTGTTAGTTTAAGCTCCTTGTTGCAGCCACTGTATTTCCAAGCATAATGTCCTTTGCCGGGGACTGGTCCCTCCTGGCACATGTCTGACATATGTGAGATGAAGTGTGGCCATCCTCGATTTTTTATTATTATTATTATTAAATGTTTTTATTTTGAATTGAGCATCCTTGATTTTAAGGAGCATTTTGGCTGTACTTCTATCTACCACAGAGATGTGCTGTCCATGGTACTTTCAGTATTCTTTTCCAGCACCATAATTCAAATGCATCAATTCTTCTACAATCTTCT